GACAACGCTTCCAATCGACCAACCACACCGAATGCACACATTCACGATTGAGGGGCCAGAAGTACTCCCACCGATAGCAAGGATAGCGGCACCCTTTCGCAGAGAATGAGTGCCGACGGCTTCTGCCACAGCTGGAAGTGCATTACCGACGAGCTCAGATAGACGACAACCAAAACGATCTCGCTGTGAGGCACCAGGAAAGAGCTTGCCGGAGTCGTGCTCGGTGTTGCAGGCCAAGTACATCGTCATGGCAAGAATGCAGCAAGACTCGGGATGCTTTGGATTGGCGTACACGTGTTTGGGGTCTCGGCGCTTTGTCCCACCTTGGTCTGTCTTCGACTTGTAAAACGTGACCCCAAGCGCATCGCCCTCGTCTGTGAAGTGATCGATTCGAATTGCCGCCGTCGAACTTGAACGGCACATCGAATTCGACGACAAAATCAGAAACTAGTGTGTAAAGCCTGCGTCTGCCATCATCATGCTTGCCTTGCACAACTCGAGATAATGGTGATGTCGGAGTGGCTGCTTGGTACCGGCCTTGATAGCACCAGCTTGGGTCCCAGTTGCACACAGCCGCCGGATACCTATTCACCAGCATATCAATACATTTCGGATAGCCAAAATTTGCCTTGAAAGATGACGGTGGCATCACTTGCAACTCAGGTGGGGGCACCATGTTGCGCTTATTGTAGTAGCCTGTCAGCGCGGAGCGGTAGCCGGATAGCGTGGAGAGGGACACGCCTTCAACTTTGTAATTGTAGAGCACAAACTCAATAAAATCAGTGTAGCCAAAGACGTCAAGTTTGAACAAGCCATCGTCATCGACCATGAGCTTACGGCCAGACGATATGAACCATTTCACGATTTGGGTCATGCCACTACGGTAGCCCTTCTTCGAACTGTCGGCCAGTCGATTGTTCCGAAGGTCTTGTACCGTTGTGCTTTGCTGACGTATCGACGACAGACCTTCGCCTTGAGAAGGGTCTGCCATTTCCGTGTCAATACTTGCCAATCAATCCTGACAGGACCTCCTGTCCGACTCTTGTGTCAATTTCGAACGTCTAATTCTATCTTCGAGTTTGTATTGAATACGTTTTAAAATGAACATTAAACGTCGGACGCCAAGTCCGACAATGACTTGATTTCCGGTATACCGTCCGACTTTTTTTCACTAGTGATATCTGAATATCAAAGCGAATACCTCTCACATTCCATTGTTATCCAGGATGTCAAACGTTTTGGTCATGTCCGGCGGTCAGAAACCTCTGATAACTACTACCTCCGTCCCAGTTTTATCACTCCAAAGGGAATTGTTGAAGTTCTATAATAATTACTCCAACGGTGCAACTGTTGTGCAAGGATCCCGGGCAAAAAAATGAGCAAAATTCAATACAATTTGCAAGTGTATATTATTGACTATTTAGTCCAAGAAGACTGGGAACGTCAATGTCATCATTCGTCAGAATCGTCTTCAACCCCGAGGAGCTCAAGCTCCATGCAAACTTCGCTCAATTCCAAGTTCTTTGCCACGTCATTCGCTAGTTCTAGCATCATGTGAGACAAATCGCATTCACCTAAAGTTGCATGGCATCGTTGACCGAACTCATATCCGTTTCGATTGACTACGGCAACAAACCCTTCGTCGTCAGCGCTGCCTTTTTCGAGTGAGGGATTTTGTTATTATTTCCACCAGCACATCGGATGACTTCGAGCAAGCATGACTGCAAAGTCAGAAAGTTTGCGTTGAGAGTCGTTGAATCAATTTCATTCCACGCCGCCTCTGTGTTGCGGACAATGTCGAACAAGCATCTAGAGCAGTTTTGTTCTTGTAGAGACTGTATCGCACGAAAAAACCGAGGTCTAGGACATTCATGTCCGGCGAGTTTGGCGGTTGATATACGAGTTTGATGTCCCATCCACCAAGGGCGCACGCACTGACAATCTCGGCGTCAAGAGGGGAGACATGGGGTCTCGCATTGCCTTGTTGGATGGTCAATTTCCGCGGCTCATGCGTGGGCCACCGAGCTTTGATTGCAGGGAGCACATTATCGATTAGCATGCGCTTGTAAACGTCACGCGTCACACTGACTGGCGACAACTCCAAAGTCCCAGCCGGCCTGTTGCGACTGCTACGCATTGCTGGAACCCACTCCGTGAAGTGCCATGTGCCAATTTTGCCGCCATGTATTCGAGTCTTCATCCCAACGTGGTCTTGCGACCGCAGAGAGAAACATCACTTTCATTATGTGACTCTTTGACTTGGTTGTTCGGTGAGGTGGCTCTACATCTGGAGCGAGGTAGAATGTCTTCCGAACACGTATTGCAAAGAACCATTTCTCGTCCACATGCACGCAATCCATCATATCCCCGAAGAATATGGTTCCGTACTCCCAACTTGATTGCATCGAGTGCCCATTTGAGCCGCACCATCTTGTTTGCATCCGTCAAGGCAGGCTTGAGTACACTGGAGTACTTGACAAACATGCCCTTCTTGTAGTATCGGTGGAGCGTTGATTTCGGAACTTTCATAACTGCCGCGACGGATCGAAATGTGGTAAGACGGGCCTTTGGGATTGCGCGAAGTCGTTCGACGATTGATTGGTGTACTTGCTTTCGGCCGACACGGCCTTTCACCCTAGCCGCAACGTCAGAGCACGGTTGGCGAGGATCCAAGACGTTCACAGACGCGCGAACCCAAACGTTGCGGATCTTGCTTCGAGCAACACCAAAGTCCTTGGCGACGTCAACCATTGCACCACGAGGCAGCTTGCCATTTGCGCTCATGCATGCTAGAAGGCGTTGTAGGATCGCCGTTCTATCGAGGTCAGTGAGGTTGGGCTTCATTTCTCTGTAATTTTTCCAATGAAACATGCAATACATGGGCGTTCTGCGGTTTTCGCGCCATAACTTCCGCAATGTCCTTTTGACGCGGCAAGACCGCCAATCGAGCTCTTCGAGTTTTGGAAACACTTGGCGGAGAAGGTCTTCATGTGGCTTCATAGTG